CTACTACTACTACTACTACTACTACTACTACTACTACTACTACTACTGGACCTGAAATGTCATGTACGGAGAACAATGGAGCTGGTTGGTTTGACCAGAACAGAGAGAGTTTTTAGTGGGGTAATGTGGTATCAGTGAGGAAAGATGGGCTGGAGCCCAAATGAGAAGGACTTCCAATGCCAAGCAGAGAACTTAGTGCTTGATCCTAGAAGTAGTAGGATAGTGAAGCAGGGGACAGACATGGTTAGACCTGTACTTGGTAATTATCAATGTAACAGCATACTAAGGGATGCTGGATTGGGCCAGGGAACAATCAGAAGCAGTCTTAGTCAGAGGCAAAAGTCAGAAAATCAAGATGAAGAACACATGAGCCAAAACAGAGACTCATCATTGAAAAAGATACACAAAACATAACATTTTGTCAATTCTGTGTAGAGAAAAAAATCCAGTCTCTTCTATTCTATTTAATTTTGTGTTTTCTCAATCATCTTTTTATACTTTGAAATGAAAAGCTAATTTCTTGTAAATCACTGTTGTAATCACTCTCTTTCTCTCTCTCCAGGTAGAAACTTCAACAAAGACGGGGATCTCATTGATTGGTGGACTCAGGAATCTGCCAAAAATTTCAAAGAACAGTCTCAATGTATGGTATACCAATATGGAAACTTTTCATGGGACCTAGCAGGCGGCCAACACGTACGTCATCAGCACCTTTGTGCAAAATTCCCTTCACTTGTAAAGCTCTGGATATTTTTCTGCTTTTCTTTATGATGAAACTTAATACATTTCAGGGTGTGTGTGTTTTTTGACAGCTCAATGGAATCAACACTCTGGGTGAAAACATTGCTGACAACGGAGGTGTTGGACAAGCATATAGGGTGAGCAGAATTCATTTTCTTCACGTGTTGGGAATTTAGAACAAAATTCAGGGAACAGAGAAAAATATTTTTTTCATTTTAAAGAACTTGTCTTCAAGTGAAAATTCATATTTACATGAATAATTATCTTCAGAATTCAGACTTATAAGGATGCATTTTAATGCAATGACTTCTAATCAACTCTTCTTAAAAGAAATTTATTTTTGGTTTTGTTTCTTATTTGATTTATAAGTATATTTACTAAGACTAGACCTGCTAAATCTATTAGATGGTTGTCTGTTTCACATATTTATCCTTGATAAATGAGTGATTTTCGGGTCAGCTAGGTGGCACAGTTGGAGAGAGCAACGGCCCTGGATTCAGGAAGACCTGAGTTCAAATCTGGCCTAAAACACATAACCTTACTAGCTGTGTGAGCCTGGGCAAGTCACTTAACCCCATTGCCTAGCCAAAAACAAATAAATGAATGAATGAATGAATGAATGAATGAATGAATGAATGAATGAGTGAATGAAAAAAAGTGAGTGAGTGATTTTCAAAAAAAAAAGAGAGAGGGAGCAAGAGAGAGGGAGAGAGAGAGAGAAAGAGTGAGCTTTGGAGACCAGATACACAGACCTGTCTGGGTGACCTCAGACAAGTCACTTAACCTCCCAGGAAACATTCTAAGACTATTAGAGTCAGGTAGGTGACTCAGTGGGTAGAGTGCCAGATCTGAACTTGGAAGATCTGAGGTCAAATCTGGCCTCATACACTAACTAGCTCTGTGACCCTGAGCAAGTGACTTAACCTTTGTTTGTTGCAGTTTCCCCGTCTGTAAAATTGGGATAATCATAGCACTGATATCCCAGGGTAGTTGTGAAGATCAAACAAGATAATATTTATAAAGTGCTTTGCAAACTTTAAAGCATTATAGAATGCTAGGTGGTGATGGTGGTGGTAGTAGTAATAGCAGTAGTAAGATTGTAGTAATAGTAGTAGTAGTAGCAGCAGCAGCAACAGTAGCAGTAGTAGTAGTATTAACAGTAGTAGTAGTA